TAACGGTTCATTCCGGTAACCCCCTGTCGCGTTCTTTTTGAGGGTACTGAGGCGGCCTTGGGGCCATCTGGTGTGGGGTTTGTCGACTGGCGCTGCAGGGGCAAAACCAAGCGAGCCACCACGGTCCCGTATTTCAATACACACTTAGAACTTGGGGCTGGGCGGGTTTTGCCTTACAACTCGACTAATCAAAGGCTTCACCACCAGACCCCTGGAACATACTTAAAACTAAGCTCTGAATGTGGAGTAAATGAAGGGAAGATGAGGTGTGCTCAGAACTGCAAAGCAAAGCATATGCCGCACATTCCTGCTTTGAGGTCGTCGAACAGAGGGTCAAAGGGGTGGGGAATCGCAGAAAGAGAGCGTGCTGACTTTTCCCGATGTCACCAAGGCCGCTTTCCTCTTTGGCCTTTCTTCCGCCGGATTTCCATCTCGCGCAATACATTTGTAGAGGGCCCTGAATTTGATCCCAGTTGCCTTTGACTCAAAGGGGATTCTCACGAGATCAGCGTGTGCATGGTTCCTTTCACTGACCTTGGCAAGAATGCTAACAGCTTTGTCGCGAATGCTAGGCTTGGAGATCCATTCACCCGAAAGAACATTTACCTGGTTGTGTCTTGACAGGTGTCCCTCCCCAAACATTCCACTCCTGGGCCGTTTTGGCAGGGTGCCAACGATTTTAGGGTAGCAATCGCATGCTTCTCTTTCTCCCCTCATGGTTGGGTAAAAACAACACGCATGTCTGGTGCACAGAGCGAAGAAGGGCAGGAGCTTTGTCTCCTTGCCATTCGACCGGAGACGAAATCCAGCGGAACCTCGCGCACGAATACAGGCCATGAACCAACTCCGCCACACATTTGAGGCAGTAACCCATTTGCCCTCCAGATGAAACTGCTTGCTCTGATCACCGCCAAAACAAGACTGGTTGCTTGAAATGGGCCCTTCGAGGATCCCAAGATACATCACAGTTCTGAACAAAGCGGTGAGGCATTGGTTTGAGTAGTCCCCCCCCCCTCCCCACACCGGCCACTACATACTCATTACTCATGGTGTGCCGCAGTGCTGAGATTGCAAAAAGGCCATGTTTCATTTCCTCATGTAACGAGACCTTTCTGATCCTGCTTTTCAGAAAACCACCACCAAGAAGCCCAGGGTGAATGGTTCTTGAAAAGAGGGATGGGTCAAAAAGAATGGACTCAACCGCTACGGCACTTATCTGGCAAGCACAGGGTTCGCTCGATTTAGGTGGACCTTATACGTGCGTTGCTCCCAAAAATGAGACGCTTCCACAGGGCTCGAAAGCCAGCTCTGCCCGTTCGGTGCCGGCGCCATGGCGTGCGTCCGCCTGTCCAGTGGCCGGGAGGTCATGACGGCGGAGGACTTTGCGGAGTGGTGGGCAGAGCAGCAGCCGGTCAAGAATCGGCTTCCGCCGGCTGGAACCCCCCCCCCCCGTTTTCGTGTAAGCATGTGTTTCCTTTTTTGCTGGGCCTCAATTCTGGGGGGAAAAAACAACAACAACATACATTCTTTCTTGGAAGGGGTTCACAAGGGGATGCGACAAACGCCATCTCCCTTTACATTGACTTCCCGTACTCAACCAGCCAAGAAACAGTTGGGCGCCTTTTTGTTTGAAACCTGGGCCACTCAGGCGGGAGGCGCGCGCCAACGGGGTGTGCTTCCTCGATAAATTGCGGCGACAGGTGGCGAGCCGCATGCAGCTGAGCCATTTCCGGCGGCTCAGCGTGGTCCGCGGAGACCAGGTGCTGAGCGCAAAGAGCCCCTGGGCTCCCGACGACTTCGTGGCTGTCCTGCGGCCGCTGGCGGAGGCAAGTGAGGTCGCGTTGCCCGATTTGGCGCTGACCTTTCTGAATGCGAATGTTTTGGCTTTTCTTCGCGTGGGTGTGTCAAAATGCGGGGCTTCCCAAAACCGGATTTCGGGCTTCCTGTTGGTTTCCCTTCGAAACCCTCCCAAACAGGGTATCGAGCCTCGCCTCAAAAAAGAGGAGCCATCCATGTTTTCTTCTTCCAGCAAACATATTTATTTTCTTGCCGATCCCTCGTCTCTGTCTGGCCCAGGAATCGGAACGCGAGTTCTTCGAAGTTGCCCGGCAGGGTGATGTTGCGCGGCTAGTGCAGCTGCTAGAGATGCCCAAGGACCCGGACACCTTTTGCGGACGAAGGGAGTTACTGGGCCAAGTAGCAGGGTTTGTAATTTTGTTTGGGGGTACAGGGATGGTTTGCGTTAGTTATCCTTTAAATCCAACCTCAAAAAGGTACCCTCAAACAAGACACACCCAGCAACCCTGATTTGTAATTTTCCCCCAAAAAACAGAACAAGTCATCAGGTCGTCTGCCCTGCACGTGGCCGCAGCACACGGGCATTTGCAGCTGGCACAGTGCTTGCTGGAGGCTGGAGCTGACAAAGACCGAGGCAACAAGGATGGCTGGACTCCGATGCACTTCGCCGCGCACTTCGGTCATCTGGAAGTGGTGAGAGCTTTGCTGGAAGTGGGTGCCGACAAGGATAAGCGCATCGATTCCGATTTCGCACCTATGCATGTTGCTGCACAGAACGGGCACTTCGAAATCGTGCGTTCCCTGCTTCAATCTGGTGCCAACAAGGACCGGGGAACAAAGGATGGTTGGACACCGATGCACTTCGCGGCCCAGAACGGCCACCTGGAAGTGGTGCATTGTTTGCTGGAAGCTGGTGCCAACAAGGACAAGCCCAGCAATGCTGGCTTCGTGCCTTTGCATGTTGCTGCGCAGAACGGCCATGAGGCAGTTGTGCATTGCTTGCTGAAAGCTGGTGCCATCAAGGATAGCTGCACCGCGGCTGGTTTTGCACCAATGCATTCGGCAGCAAAGAACGGGCATCAGGAAGTGGTTTGTTGCTTGCTGGAGGCTGGTGCCAACAAGGACAGGGGCAGCACAGCTGGTTATACGCCCTTGCTTGTTGCCGCAGAGAACGGCTATTTGGATGTTGTGCGTTGCTTGCTGAAAGCTGGTGCCGACAAGGAGCAGGGAAGCGCGGATGGCTTTACGCCTCTGCATGTTGCTGCACATGCCGGCCATTTGGCAGTTGTTTGTGAATTGCTGGAAGCCGGTGCCAACAAGCACGCGGGCAGCAATGCTGGCTTTACCTCTTTGCATGTCGCTGCGCAGAACGGCCACGAGAACATCGTGCGATGCCTGCTGGCAGCCCGTGCCGACAAGGACAGTCGCAGTCGGGCCGGTTCTACGCCGATGTATGTCGCTGCGCAGAACGGCCATCCCGACATTGCGCAGAGCTTACTGGCCGGCACACACCCGAGCAATGCTGGCTATGCACGTGAATTCTGCTGTCGGGCATGGACCACTTTGGCCGGATGCCCATGCATGCCACTGTTTTCGGGGGTTTAAACTCACGGAAGCTGACGTGCGAGGGGTAGAAATGCGGTTGATACCTCCAATGGTGGTCTCCCCCCGAACAGCCAAGACTTCAAGAGAGAGTTCCATTTGTTTGTTTCTTCGGACATCGGGGCATTGTATCACAGCCAGACTTGGCTTTGGCCTTGCAACTTTTGTCCTCTCGGGATTGTGCGATCCTACTGTTGACACCAGCAAACAGTTTGCTGTGTGTCTGAGTCTGGTCAAGAATCTGCAATTTACTTTGCACAAAGGCAACAATGGATTGTGGATTTCGGAGAGGGCGCCCATCGGGTGCTTTTTGCAGACGAGGGCAATCATCCCTTGTTTTGTTGAACTAGTTGCCTGTCCGTGCTACTGTCAACTAGACAATCCAGTCCGCCCCAGGCATCATTTCACGTTGTCATTTGGGGTTAACAGGATACCCGCAAGAGGTCTGCGGTTCGTAGTTGTTTCCCTTGAGGCCACGTTTCCCAAAGGCCAGTTTGACAGCTCAAGGGGACACCCACCGGCTTGCGTGGCCGATTTGCACATGCTACCTGAGGTGACGGCGGACGTGGAGATGACGCCAGCCAAGGATATTGGCAAGTCAGGCGTGGAAGATGGGCTCATCCACTTTCCACCCTCATCTCCATCCTCATGCTTGTCCTGCTCCCTGTCCTTATTTCCGTGCTCATCCTCATCCTCATCTCCATAAGCATGCCAGCCAGTTAGACTTGAGCCTAACATGTATCTGCCACAGCACTGGGCTCCAATACCTACACACTTCAGTTTTACTTCGTGTTCGTTTTGGGGTAATGCACATTAGGTTTGAAGGGTGAAGGAGGAGTGCAACCTCCGCTCTGGTTGATCTACATTTTAGTTTCAAGGGGTAGGGGACCGCCACCCCTCCGAAGTTAAAGGACCCAAAAGTTTAGAATGGGGTTGTAAACGCAGTCATGATCACAAGATAATTGCGTACTTACTGAGCCCCTTCGTTCTGTGAGGACTCTTCAAATTCAGATTTCATTGAATCCTTGAAGATCGTGCCATGAGCTGCAACTGTCTCAAGATCAGGCTCAGTCTACAGGAAGCCCGTCGGTTTGTTTCGGCGTGTTTGGACCAGATACTCAGTTTCAGGGTTCCTTGTTTGGAGCGCCTCATTCCTAGTCTGACCCCCTGGCAAGGTGTGTTTGGGCAGCCTTGGCGTCCCCACAGGTGGTCACAGGTGTTTCTCATTCTCGGACCCTCAAAAGTCGGGTTGGTTTCCTTTTGGTTTCCCTTCGAAGCAATCCTCCAAAAATGGGACACCCTCGAAAAAGAGGAGCCGCACCCACAGGGCTGGTCAGAAACCGCAGGCATGCCGATGCCGCTGGCTGTGGGCATCTTCCTGCTGCATCTCGGCCGAAGCTTCGGACAGCTGAGGGGAAATCGTGGATTGATCCAATCGGGGAACGCATCACACGGATCTTTGCAGCAGTATGTTCCCCAAACGGGCCGACGATGACCTTTTCCGTTTGACTGAACCGTGAAACCTTTTGGCGGGTCTTGGTCTGGACAATGGTTGATGTCAATGGTAACGTCTTAGATCCTTGTTTTCTCTTTGAATGATGGTGGTGGTGGAACATATTCAAATCTTAGGTTTGGGGTTAAACATTCATCAGGGTCGGGCGGTCGGGCTAGTCGATCTGGTTGGCACTCGCTGGAATCTGCCGTCATTTCCATCAGGCAGAGACTGGATGCACCCACACAAGATGCTGCAGGGATGTGTACCCTTAGACACAGTTCCGTCATCCACCCCAAAGGAAACCCTGATGTTGAACCATTATGACTGTTCCTCAACCCCCCAATCTCCGTGCCTCCGGCCACTAGCCGCTTTCTCCTGGTGCGATTTTGAACATGGCGGGTTTTAGTTTGTCCCTTTCTGCTTCAAAGAGGTGGTTTATCTACATCCCAACTGGTGCCGATCGGAGCGGATTTTGTCCATCCACTATCCCACTTCGGCATCACAAGGGTTATTTTCCACCAGGGCTGGGCAAATACGGTCAAACAAAGAGCACAAACAAGATCTTGTTTAAGCAATGACGGTTTAAGCATGTTTAAACAAGGATCTCGTTGTGGTGAGTGTTTTCGAGTGTTTTGTCAGAGGTACGGCGCGGTGGCTGCCTTCACGATTTGGCGGGACACCTTCGCGAATGACTTCGTGATGCCCTTCCTGACAGCAGGCGGAGCGGTGCTTTTCATCTGCGGTTTCCGGATTGGGAGCTGGAAAGATCATTTGGGGCGCTCTTACTTTCAATGCATCCAGTTCTTGCGGTTTCTGGATTCGGAGCTTCATGTGCCCGAGGGTGGATCGGGCTCTATCTAGATATGTTGCAGGCTTCCATTCCTTGCAATGATATGGGACTGTCTACCTCTTTTGAGGCTACCCTTTTTTTGGGGGTTGTTTTCACGGGAACCAAAACGCTCAGTTGCCCAAAGCCGACCTTTTGACCTTGTGGTTTTCTTGTTTTGGTCCATATTTAGTCAAGGTTTCAAAAGGCTAACCTTTGATTTCCAAGTCCCTTGGGCAAGTGAGAAGGACATCACTCTCGCTTTTTGGGGTCCACAATCTTGAGCCAAACCCATAGTTGGTATTCGGCACAAAGCGGGGTTCGATTTGGACGGCTGCTTACCCCCTCCAGGCAGTGCGAAGTGGAGATGTGCAACCAAGTTTAGGTGTCAAAATCCGGGACCCTTCAAAACTAGGTGCGTATGAGAGTGTTGGGTGCGTGTGTGCTGCTCGCATGTGTTCATTTGTGTACCCCCCCATGCCTTGTGTTCACGCCATTGTAGATGATGGCGAGATGGCCATCCAAGCAAAGGTGGCTACTGCTTGTGACCTCTTGGGGGCTGCACAATGTGGGAAGCGCAGCTTTTGTTAGCTGCCTGAACAGAGACTGCCGCGGAGTGGAAGTCTAAGCAATGTTTGTAAATCACGCAGACATGAAGAACACTTCAATTGGGCCACATGCGTGTGAAGATCGGCAGATTTGCTGCAATTGTTTGAGGCTTGTCCGCTTGCCCCAGTACAGGTCCCTCAGAGTTCCAATCCCTAATTCAACCGCCAACAGTGGACGTTTTGCTGAAATGCGGTGAAACTGTGGATGGACAAAACCCGCTTCACATCCCATTTTGTACATGTAGTTCATCCATCCCAACTGGTGCCGATCTCCATCGACTAACCCACCTTGGTATCACAAGCGTTTTTTTTCATCAGGGTTGGGCAAAAATGGTTTAAACGAACAACACCAAGAAGATGTTGTTTACGCAATAGCATCCCACAGAATGAGCGAGTTGCAAAAGCGGATTGTGTTCGGAGGTATGTTCGTGTGGGGCGGCGGCCCCGTAGTCCTGCCCATGCTGATGACGTGCCTGGGACATCGACCGTGCGGCATGTGTGGCCTTTGCGTGCCCTCTGAGCCCTAATCTTTGAAGTGGCATGTCTGTGAATTGTCGTAGGGACCCTCGGGTGGACATCATTGGGGTGGGGATTTATGTCCAACCAGACTCGTGAGGTGATTCCCTATTGAAGTGTGGCAGGCTTGTCCGCATGAATTCCCCGTTGCGTTGATTCAGGTGCCAGAAGGCAACGAACGTACGGCTCCGCAAAGCGGGGCCCTCCGTGTAGCTTGGAGCTGCTTTCCCGCTGGCTTGCAAACAATGGCCACTGGTTGCAGCAACCCCTTGGCGCATATACCAAACCACCACACCACCTTGAGCGTGGCATGGATAACCAGCTGGAAGCTTGTAGGCTCTCTCAGGGGGCCCTTCCCAAGGCTTGTGTCAATGTCTTTGCAACTTCCTTTCATTTCCTTTTGGTCCCGTGTCTTGTGTTCCCTTCCCGCAAACCACGCATGGCTGGGCGCAAATGCAAAATTTGGTTGGAGTGGTATGCTTGGTCGCGGAAGGGCGACATCTTATCAATACGCGGACCCGAACGAACCCATCCGCAAGGGATTCTTCAGCCTTTGTGTGTTTCTTGCGGAGCCCAGGTATTTGACGCCCCACTGGATCTCCCCGACCATCTTCCTAGCCGGAATCTCCTTCGCTGAGATGATGCCGGGGCCTGTCTTCAACATCTCCTGCGGCTCGGCCCGATTCGGATTGAACCGTATTGAGTGTTTCCAGAATCATGTGGCGTGGCTATCTATGCAAACCTTATACACTTATATATATATATATACGTGCATGTTATAATATATATATGCACATACATGTATATTTATTCGTATTCATACGCATGTACATTTGCTTATGTGGGTCGCGTTGCGGTTTGCCTTGAACTAGCATCTCATGAAGCAAGCTTCATCAAACAAACAGATAAGTTGAACATTTTGTCGCTGAAATTGCGTGCTCTAGACTATCGACGATGAATTTTGAGCACTGGGGGAGCTGACAAAATCGCCGTTCCAAACGGGGCAGGCTTCCAATGCATGCAATTGAATTCAGAAACCCTCGTTTTTGAGGGATTCTCGGGAAGTCGAACCACCTCACGTGGGCTTTGGTCACAACCGGAGTGGGTTGCAATGATTGTGCCTGCAAGAGTTGCTTTGAGTCAAAGTGGTTGCCTCAAAGCCCCTGGGAAATAGTTGCCGTATGTTCCCAGAGCTCGAATCGAGCCAAGTCCCATCCATAAGGCTGCGTTCAGGTTGGACTGGTAAGTACTGGAGGCTCAATTCCCATCCAATTGATTCTGGGATCTCTCTTGAGAACTTACTTTGTCATGTTTGAATGAATTTTACATTTGAAGGAACGGGAATCCATTCCGTTTTGGGGTTCATTGTCTTGGGCTCCAGTCTGGTTTCTTGAGGCTTCCTGGGCATCCAGCTGGCCATCAACAGCGGGTGGTTCTGGCTCAGCGGCATCGCTGCCTGCTGGGCAGGCGGGAGGAACACCCCCTTTTTGGCTTCGATCTGAGTCACATGGTCGAGATGGGTAAGCAACATCCTCGAAATTACCAAGTCGCCATTTAGCCCCTGAAGTGATTTCGAGAACCCCTCGAACTGCGAGCACATTTGACGGGCGCAGTCGACCTGACCAGTATTGAAAGGGGGCAAATTCGAGCCTAGGCCGAATTTCGAGTCACTTTGGGTTGAACTCCTTGTAGCCCAATCTGCCCGATGGTCACTTCGGGTACCACGTGGCCGGCCCGAAGGGGCTGGTACACTGGCAAGCAGTTCAGACGTGGTTGGCTCATCCACGCGGAGACACGCACCTTGGAGAGCCGCCAGGGCTTGACACATGAGAGCTATTTTACACGAGGCTGTACTCATTGCTCATGGTTGAATCAGCACGGTGAGCTTTGAGGACATCGGCTATCTTTGTCAAAAGGACAATTGGGATCCTGTGATCCTAGTTGGGATGCTGTGATCCTAGTCCTATAGCACCTAGAAGCCTAAAGTCTCATAGGGATCCCTTTTACGCGCCACACCATAGCTTTGGCCCCCACCAAAGGCATCTTGTTTGGGTGTGTCCATGGCCCCGGAACACAGCAACCGGAGAAAACAGGACCGCTTTTGGCCACCAGGGCTCATGCTGCCCGGCGTGATCCTGATCTTCGCAGCCTACACGCTCTGGGACGTGCCATGGACAGACCCGGGTGCAGAACCCGGGTCCCACTCCAGGGACCCTGTTGGGTAAAAATTAGGCCCCGGAGGGTCTGTGTGCCAAAGTATGTTCTGTTGGGTGCTCTTTCTATCTGACCATGGTGTCTTGAGGACTGCCGTCCACAAGCTGCCGGAGATTATCTTTCATGATTGGAGGGTACTGTAGGGATGAACCAGGAACTTGAAGGTTGCCCCCGTCACTTTGACGTGAACCCCATCTTGGGGGTGGTTTGTTTTGGTCATCGATGTGCAAAGGCAAATGTGGGGGTGTTTCGTTGAAGCCAGTCTCATGGCTCACATGCAACCCACCCCAGTCCTCGGTAGTTTGTAGAAACCAGAACGAAACCCGGCCTCAGTCGAGCGGGATGTTCACAACATTCAACTTGCTGGAAGGGAAAGCAAGGAAATCCTGGAAACCATTCGCAATCCGTTTGCTCTTGTGGGCTGGTCATCCATTTCCTTTGCAATCCGTCCCACCTATTCAGTCAAGTTTCCTCGTTGGTCTCACATGCCCATGGCATGGCGCGAGCGAGCTCTCTCGCTTTGCGATCCGAGGAGTTGCGGAAGCAGAAGCTCTACCAGCACGCGCTGCCAGGCGTGCAAATGGGAAAGTCTGCGGCGAGCTGTGGCCTGATGTACTTCCTTGCTTAGGGGCAAGCAAGGAAGGCTAAGTCGATTGATGGCTTGGTTGTTTGCAAGATGAGACATTGATACTGAGTGATTTTCAGGTTTGGATTGGAGATTTGAACCCCTGGTTCTTGTAAAGGGGTTTATGGGAAACCCCCCTGACAAATGTGAAGACAACCGGGCCCCAAACCACCAGGAGGGAAGCTGAGACGTGACAATAAAACTGTCGCTGAGTGCAAGAGTTGGATCCAGCGAGGTTCTTGTGGATCTTTAGACTCTAACTTGTTTGTTCATTTGCTTATTGCTATGTTTCCTGTTGGCTTTAAGGGGAATTTATCACTGCTGGAAATACTTTATTTTTGTCCGGGGACTTGAACAAATGGACGTTTTGGGAAATGATGATGCTTTCCGGCAAACGGCAACAAGTTTGAGCTTTTCTTAGTGAGGGCAACAGCAAGCTTACGTCTTGAACTTCTCTAGCTATGGTTCCAGCCGATGTCAACAGCCTCGAACTTGCGGAGGGGCACTGTGGCATCGCCCGGCTCAGATGTCGAGTGTGGTTTGAAACCTGCAAGTGCTGCAATCACTCTGGCATGAATGATCCGTGGGCTTTGAGGATGACGATCAGATTTTTAATCCTTGTGTCTACTTGATGAGCTTTCCTTGATCAGAGGTGCTTGCAGAGGATTGCATGTTTTCACAGAAACAGGATGCCTACAAATAGTTGGCTGCGAATAATAATAATAATAATAATAATAATAATAATAATAATAGTAAGGAACCACCCCCAGGAACCATCTCAAAAGTGGCTGGTAGACATAAACCCCCACCTAAGTGATGTTCACCGAAGGGCTCCTTAACATTCAGCCCGATTGATTCCCTTGCTTTCACACTTAGCCCCAAACTTTGGGTCCCAATTTCACACATTCGTTTGGAGGTCTGAATGCCGCTGCTGTGGGCTTGCTGCTGCCGACCATGTTTGTGGTGTATGACACCTTGCAGGACTCTGAAGAGATTTGGGTGTATTCAGTGTATTCTGTTTTTGTTTGAGTGCTTTCGGTTCTCAAAGCAACCCTGAGATTGAAACCTTGTAGACATCTGCAATTTTGCGTGTGACAGTAGTTCTCGCATGCTCATGTGGGGGCTCCTCAAACAAGGCTATTCACTGCAATTGGGGTTTTGAGAGCTGGAGTGCAACTCCAGTGAACATCCAGGTTGTTTCCTGTGAATCAGGCCAGTTCCACTCCAACTTTCCGATCAACATTATGTTTGGCTGGCCTGGATTTTCACCAGAGTGCCCGCTTTACCTTGGCAGGTCACAACCAACGGATTTGAAGAAGCCTTGTGTCCCAGATGTGCTTGCCAGTTTCCAGGCGTCCATGGCACACGGCTTAGCTTAGGCTCAACCTTTGGAGGAAGGTTTCCCGAGCTTGTGTGGGCGCGGGTCAAATAAACAGCCCGCTCCTTTTTGAATAGGGTTTTGTTTGCCGGGAGTCATTGTGGTGTATCTTTTTGAGGGTACCCTTTTCAGGGTGGTTCGAAGGAGAGCCACTTGAAACAAAGAATGTTAGGGGTTCCACTATGTTGAGACAGTTTTTGCTCCTGGTTGATGTCAGAATCGAGCCCAGACGGTTCTGACAAGTTGTGTTTCTTTTCTCCTTGACCTGGAAGGGAGCCGTTACGGAGCTGGAGGCATCTAAATTTGCTTTCATTTGTGTGTGTTTTTTGAGGGCACCTTTTTTTGGATGGTGTGGAGGGAAACCACACGGAACAACACTTTGGGGCACCCTTTTCGGGCTACAAGAGTTGAGGGCATGGTCGCCACCCAACAACTAGGGCCTTGAACTGTTTTTTGCTGTTTTTGCACGATTTTGTGTGCCCGCACACTGCACGCCTGCTTCTCACTGCAGTCCACCCAAGCTAGCTTCAATACAGCTCCTTCTATCTTCCTTTTTGGCGAGCTCGGACATACTCTTTGGGGTCGCTGGAACGTGAGTTTCCTTTGGCAGGAGTGATATTTTAAGAAGAATTATATCGGGAACCCTGTCCACCGCCAACCCCAAGATATCCTGCTGCAGGGCTGGCTACACGAAGAGTTTGAACATTTCCAGAAGTCTGGTTTCATTCCGTCTTCAACCGCCCAAAAGGGTTCACCAGCCACACGTCTTGTTCGCAGGAGCGGAGCCCTTGGAAGTCAGGCAGCAGGGCATTGGTGGTGATTGCCTACTACCTGATCGAGCTGGTCAAGGACTGGGAAGAAAGAACTTCTCGATCTGCGAGTGCTTGCGGTCAGCAACCCAGGTCAGGAGTTGCTCCTAGGGCCGGTGTAGGCCAAGTCCTGCAAAGAAGGACCTTACAAACCAAGACAACTGAAAACCTGCGGAATGATTGAAACCAGGAGGTCCCCTCCAACCGGTTCCCTGACAGACGCGGGGCAAAACCGCAGCCCAAAGCTTCCGCAGGTCAACGTGCCCGCAGTGGTCATCGCCTTTGGCGCGGCAGGGCTGCTGTGGTCTCTGCAGTGAGCTGTGGGAAACAAAGTGAGCCCTGCAGAATGGGCAAAGTTCCCGGTGGGTCGGGTAGGGTAGGGTGGGTTCTGTTGAACGCCGCAAGTAGGGCCCCTGGTTCATTGAGGGGACACTATCGGCTCTACTCATGCAGCGGGTCAAGCGCTCTCAGCCTTACTGAAGGATGGGAGCGTATGACCCGGACAGTCCAGCATTTCAAAGTTGACCAGAACCCTGCTATGCCAACCCGCATTTGCTTGCACCTGAGACCAGGGGCGCTTGATACTTGCATCTGCTTGGCGTGGGCGTTCTGCCCAACGTGCCGAGCCTGTGGCCCGTGGCCCGCGGTCTGCCGAGCCCATTTCACTAGGGGGCTGACCGAGTGGCCAGTTTTCCAACGTATGGTCTGCGCTCTTGATGGAGCCAGCCGTTTGCACAAATGATTGCGTGGCTATTCCTGGCTTTTTGGCTTTTGGGGTGATCCTTGGGGGCTGCATAAATCCTTTTGACAAAGCCTTGCTCCTGGCTTGGAAGGCACTCTAGATCTTCAGTGCTGCGGATGAGCAGCTCGAGTTGCACCGAACGGCTACATTGCTTAAAACAGAGCGGATTCACCTTGCGCCTTGTCGGACTTGGGGACTTTCCTCAACGCGCAGGCTCTTTCGCATTCCTGAATGCTTAAGCCGAGTGATAGGTTTTCCGCTTGTTGCAACATGCCCCACTATGGAATAGGGATTAGGATTGGGGATCCCCCGTCTTGAACACCTCAGAAAAGGAACTCAATCCTGCGAGTCTTGATGCGACTGGTTGCACAGCTCAGTGATCCATTTGGGGACCAAAACTGGCTCTTGTTGGGATCTCAGATTTTCCTAGCTTTGATAGAGCCATATCTCGCTTAAATGCTGCCTCAGCGAGTGATAGCTGCATGTTTTCTCTCTACCGTTTTCGGAGGTACGTTTTTCTCAGTGGGTCTTGCAGGATCAGCCAGCGTAGGAAAGGCGATAACAAGCGTCGCCCCCTTTCTTGACCAAAGCACCTTACCCAGTTGATGGTCACGATAATAGATGTTGGTCAGTTCGGTTGAACATAGATGTATTGGTTTCAGCTTGGTTGCAATCCTTGCTGGAATTTAGGGTTGCTCCAATCAACGCAGTGCAACACGAGGCTTGGGCAGAACATGGTCACAGGGGTCCTGGTTTCCCCTTCCAGGGACCACATGTTCATGCCAGGATCTTTAGAAGATTGTGTTACAAGAGCAGAGGCTTTCTAGATTGTGTTACATGTTCAAGCTTCTCTCCGGGTCGAATCGGAGCAGTGCTTCCCATCCGCCCGCCAGGCTGGAGACTTTTGCATCCAAAGCGCTGCAAGACATCGAGCAGGCGCGGGACCTGGGACCCCGTGGGAGTCAGACGATTGGGACTTCCTCGAATCCCGCTTCTGGTGATTGGTTACGCAAGGAGTCCTATTTGGATTGTTAGGGGGCTTCAAAGTCGGGGATTGCTGCCCTCAACGGGTGACTTGGGTGACTTTGGGAATAGTGGCCGGGTCAGTATATAAAAGCCGGATCCAGCGAGGAGGTTCCCTTTCTTTAGGGGCATAGGTTTCTGCTCGGCTGCAGGCGGAAGGCGCATGTTGCGCGCTTGGCAATTCATTCACAGGGCATCATGATTCCCTCAGGGTCCAACACTAAGCATGGAGGTTTCATCGAAGACACAACGCGTTGGCGCGAACAGTTGAGGGGCTGTGCACAAATGGAGCCCCTTTGTTTAGGACTCACCAAAGGACTCACCAAAGAGGCGCAGGATATGCTGACAAATATCATCTCTCGACAATCTTTAATTGTAATTATATTTCGTTATATGTCCATGTGTGGATGACCTAAGTTTTTGAAGGATTGTTGGCGCTCTGAAGGATTTCAACACTTGGACACTTCTTCAACTTTGGACCGACGCTGACTTGCTGCATGCCAGTTGCAAGAACAGACTTCACCTTGCACAGATAGCCAACCGATCCTATTAGGTCTATATGAGCTTCGTCGCTGAGCTGGTTATTTTGTATTGGCTGAGCATCATGCGTCCAACGATGCAATGCGGTCGGCGCGAATACTGCAACCTACTGCAACGATTTGGCTGCCCACGTGGTTGACACACTATTGTCGGCATCCCTGGCTTGCTCTTTGAACATGCCTGGGCGACTGGGATGACTGTGCCTGCTCCACGGAAATACTCAGTGGACAAGTATTGGTCCATTCCGGCTGCAGCTTTTTGTATGTTTGCAGACTCAAGCTGAGCTGCAAATCTGTGCTCGCTGCAAGGATTGCCGAATCCCAACAACAGGTATCGCCCAGTCCAAATGAGACAGGCCTTCTTCCAGATGAGCACCGCTTTCCCTTCTCATACAGAAGGGATCTTGTCCGATGTTAGCGTGGGTGTGCTACACATGCAGTTGCTGCCACTCAGTCGCGATATGTTTCTGGGTATGCTTCAGTCTCGACTCCAATCATTTGTGTTTTCGACTTTACGTAGGTGTTGGGAGGGCAGAGGTGTGATTGCTCCGCACAGCAACATAATGCTTGAGTCGCCATTCAAAAGAAGGCACGGCAGTTCAAATGAACCGCCGTGTTTTGGATTAGATGGGAACGTACTTGCCGAGTTCATCATTTGATTATACATACATGATGTAGCATAACCCGCTTTTCAGGCTACCCGGTCGAAAGTTGATCTCGACCTCGATTGGTGATGGTTCAATTGTTTGTTCTTTTATTTCGTGCTTCTTTTCCAAGTAGTGGAGTTGCAGCATTTATCAGCCTACAATGCTGTAAGTATTGCAACATGCCCATTTGCCGAGTCAGTTGATGGCATGATGCTCTAGGGGATACTGTACATCTTTTGGACAGAAAGCCACGTGGCGTGGTGGGACGTCTCGTACTGTGGACCGCTGCTGCAATCATTGAGCTCACTCTGTTTACTCTTGTTTTTCTTCTCCATGGTTTGCCTTTGAATACCTAATTTTTCATTTGCAAAAAAGCAAAGCAGCATGTGCAACAAGTTTGGCAGCAGCAGCAGCAGCAGCAGCAGCAGCAGCAGCAGCAGCAGCAGCGGTGCACATTGGATGTGGGTTGGTCGTCCAACGTTGTGATCGTGGTTATTACACTTTTTCAACTAGACTCCAGCAAGCTATGGCTCTTTCAAGATGAGATAACTGGGGCTACGCTAGATTGGGTGCATTAATGATGTATGCTTACACGTATCAGGATAAGAGGTATGTCTCCCCTCAGTGTGGTTGCATCCTCCAGACGCGGAGAGCTTTGTAGAAAGGAAGAACTGACAGCCTGCGACGCTCAGAGACTCCCTGCGTGTGACATTCCAATGTCTGGTACAGGCGGTGCTGAGTCCCGAGAGGCCCGGAGCGACGGGGAGTGCTCGAAACGCCAAAGGGCCATAGGCGGTCTACCACCTGTCATGAGGGCTATAGTAAGGGCATTACAAACCTTTAGACTTTGCAAGCCTTCACACATTCTGACCATTTGCAACATCAACCTTTACAACCATGTTAGCAGAACGAACAAGTCGATGGGTTTTGGGCACTGCTCAATTGGCTTGTAGCAAACAACTTTGCCATGCAATTAAATGGGAGCTCAAAGGATATTGTATGTATATTTATTTTATAGCATTGGCTTAAGCATGTGGATTGAAGCGGCCGCCAAAACCAATTGAACCAAGGAAGGCTCGCGTATTTCGTCAAGTGCCCAGTTGTTCAGCGGCGAGCTCATTGGTTTTCCCGGTTAACACAGTATTCACCTCCTTGATTGCATGTTTGAAGAGGACATGGCCCTTCGCCCCCTTCTTTGCTGAGGCTGGTTCTCCACAAAAATACGGTTCTTTTCTGGTGTGGACAGTGCAGCCAGCACGCTTGTCAATGACATGTGCAAGGTGCCGAGAACCAAGCGACCTTCGCAATGGTTGGTATCATTTAAAACCGTCGCTACACATGTGGCTTTTGAAGCCTGATGCAGGGGGCCCTTGTGATGCCCAACAATTAGCTGCTATGTATGTATGGAGCTCAGGTCGTCAAATGGGTTCATCGTTGTTTTGAGGTCCGCCATTTTCCAAATCATACGGACCGCCAGGCTGGCGGTTGTGGTGCCTCGGCCCAAAAACTGACGGGCGGCAAATGTTTCGACGGGAGGCTTCATGGAAGAAAGGGTCATGATTGTGACCCCAACAAGCATCTCGTCTCTTTTTGGAACGTGGGGAAAGTCAAACCTAAACCGACCCTAAACCAACCCTGTGTGTTGGGGTGTCTAGTAGCCTCCCCCTGGGTGAATTGGATGGACTGTCAGAAGGGATCGGCAGGATTCCATGTTCAGGTTTGACTAATACCCACTCCACTGTTCCTTATCCGAAAGGTGCCCCTGGAAGAGGCCCCTTTCTTTTTTTAGCAGGGATTCTGCATGGGGTAAAGTTCGACGGGATGGCAAGCGACTCCTCCGTTGCGCAAGTGTCGCTTTAGATGTTTCGGATCAAGCCGCAGACCGAAGTCCCAAGCGCTGAGCAGCGGGTTGTGCCTCTTTCCAAGTTCCAAACAAGCAAACAGGAGCGCCTCCGCAGGGATCAATCCAAGGCTCTTCAGAGCAAAGATGACTCCTCCACCTTATATAACCAGAAAGTGCTTCCAGAATTTGTCAAAGGTGCCTGGATGCGGCTCAGCGGCTCCTCTTCTGTTCAAACTTAAGAAAGACACCGCACAACACATACTCAAAGATCACCCTTCTGGCAGCCTTCATGCTTGCTTTGATCTGGTTTAATTAACCAAGGGTCCGCGGCTAGTAAGAATTGCTAAGCGTATGGTGTGTGTGTGCGTGTGCGTTTTTCCGACGGCAAAAGTCTGCGCCCACACGAACGAAACCACGCCGCAAAGGAAGACCAGAGTTGGCTAAGTTCGAACCAAGCACACAACGAGACACTATTTTCCAACGCCCGCACTCACGAAATAGCAAGCACATCAGACATCAAAGCAGCCCACACACACACACACACACACGCTCCTCAAGATACGATATGCCGCCATTGGACCTCGGAATTTGTGAATTCGCCCCTGTTTTGGGACAGCTTTCGGACGGTCACAGACGACTTTCCGGGTGTTAAAGGGGAAGCCACGAACCATCGAGGTCCACCGACACATGCGGGTGGCCACCGGAGCAGCGGAAGAGGAACTGCGCGTTCCTTGGAGCTCCGGTGGGGGGTCAGAAGGCTTTTGCTCGTTTTTCTTTTGTTTTGTTTTGCCTTTCTTTTGCTTGGTTTGTTTGCTGGTCATCTTCTGTGTTCGCTGTTCCGACCACTTTGCCCAGTCATGGTGGACAAAGGGCAAGCCACGTGCAAGTGAGAGGCTGAGTATTTTTTGGAAGTCTGCAAAGCACCTAACAAGCATTAAGTATGATAGTTCACTACAAGCACATACATGCTTTGTTCCTGGTCATCATCATCATCATCATCATCATCATCATCAGCATCATCATCATCAGCAGCATCATCATCATCATTTGTATTTCTTCATTTTATAATGAGAATAGTTAGTATAATGTTGGCTTTGCGAATACATTCTTCATTTCTTGTACTTTCGCTGACTGATTGCTGAAGATGCATGCCAGTTGTCCAATGGTGCCTTGCTTCCTTTTGCCTCAGGGTTCAATCGACAACACCCAGGTGTCCCCGTCTAGTCTTTTTCCATGCCCTCTTGGCAAGAAAGGCGGTTCTACCCTTTCTCGGCACGCTAGGCGACAGTTCGCAGGATAAGCACCGTGACACCAGCGAGGCCCTTGTGAAACATTTCCACTTGGCCCTACCAGTTTTTTCGACAGCCAACCTGCACCTCTTTGCGCTCAGTGCCAGATGTCCTTATTTGTTCCTAGGCCCGTCTTCCTCAGCGATAGCCTCATTGTCAAAGATGAAGGCGGGGAGGAGGGAGCTTGAAGGTATGGGAGCCATAGTCTACAACCATCGTGTCCCAAGTTGACAATTTCCTTGTGGCAGTTCGTGGGGTGTCATTCCGTCCACCACAGTAGATGATGATGAGTTTCCACTGCCTAGTCTGCGAATTCTCATAACTTGCCCAGACCAAGTCCCATATCGGCCAGCCTCACCAGATGCTGGTGAGCCCATTCGAAGATACTGGCCCCATGCTCCAGGGTTGGGCCAATGCTTTGCTTACACCATGGTTTATGCCACGGTTATCGATCGCCCTGCCGGCAGCTGGGCTGCTTCGCTGAAATGATTCTACATGTTGAGGGTCACCTGAGAAGGTACCATGTACCCTGTTTTGAAGGGAAGCCAAAAGGAAACCACTCATTTGTGGCTCCCCAATTTTGAGACACACATATGTTTTGGTTGGGGCAACTGTTCTGCTTCCAGGGTTTTCCAGAGCCCATCCGTCAGGTGGAGACAAGGGCAGGGGCTACTACGCTAAGAGGACTGCCTGGCTTGTCGTTTCCGCCCGGTCGCGATGTCCAGTACCTTGGTGAAGCCAAGAGCCACTCCAAGACATGTTGAACAGGGAAGCGGTAAGCCTGGCAAAAGGACTTCAAACTACACGTGCCTTCCATTTCAATCAAACCCAACCACTTACATCCACAAATGCCCCAGGAACATCTCGGCCGGGGAGCTGCTCCTTAGAGAGGCGCCGTGGGAGCTATGGGGCAACATGCTTGTAGCTGAGGGATGGACGGCTCTCCCAGGAAGTCATAGGAACGGGGTGTGGCGATGGACGATCCTTGAGGCTCCGGAACTTTGACCTTGGTTCCTGAGTTTTCCTAGTTTCAGGTTTGGTCAGGTCACCTGGCAATGCTACATGCTGTTTGTGAATCGCCTTCAGGGCAAAACTTACAAGTTTGCACATCATCCCGCAATATGGGATTGTGTTCCCTACTTGAATAACATCAGGTTCACCGTTTTGTTGCGGGGTACTGACTGGCCACATTGATGCAGGGCAGCAGCTTCATTTTTGGTGCCCAGCAGCGACAGCTATATGTGGGTTCTTACTTTCCGCGCAAGTTCAGTGGCAGTTTCCAGGGAATGAACATTGGCCGATGCTGTTTCGGGATGCTTCATTGCCAGACTTGGCTTGTCCTTTTGAGTTTTTGTGTTTCCTTCATTCTCCTTGTTTTCAGTTTTTCTTCCACCTTTTCCTCCACTTTCTGCACGTGGTCAGCCTCTGGCCTTGGGCTTCATGTCTTTGTGTTTGCCAGTATATTTTTCGGACCTGGTGCTTAAGAAGGCCAGGGTTTGGCTGGAGAAGCGCCACCTGCATCCTAAGTTCCAACCGAAACAAACTCCACCGCCCGCGAAGCCCGAGTTGCCTGTTTTCCACAAAGCTGGTGTCCACACCAACTCCTACACTCTAGTTTTGCTAAAGAGGGATGGGGCAGGGTTCCCTAAGTACTTCCCCGCCGTTTTATGCTTTTTTAACATCACCTTTCGGGCCAATTCAAAAAGAGTTGGCCTTTTGGAGGAGTGTTGTTTCACGGGATTTGCAGGGAAACCTCACAACCAGGGCGCGTCCTGAAATAGATTGCCTCCAATCCAACAAAAGCAGGTTTCCTTTAGCCCTTTCAGGTTGAACATCTGTCTATCAAAATTAGAACCCACACAAATTTCCCTACACTATTCAATCATCTTTCAAGAAAATCCTTTTCCATGGAATTCTTTATGGACGTCTCTCCGACCCTTTGGACCTCCCCCAAAAACGGGGCGGCTCTCCCACCGTTCGCGCGCCGGAGGCGCCCCACATCTTCGACGCGGAGGAGGAGGACTTCGAAGCGCTGGCGGCGCTTCATGCGCGGAGCCTCGAGGATTTTTTTGCGCGGCACGTTGGACCGGGGCGGGGTAGACTACTTGAAAGATACATTTTGCAACCATTTGAAACATGTTGCTTTTTCCACAAAAATGAAGGGAAACCACCATTTACAAGGCAATGTTCAGGTGTATAATGTAAGGATCTCTGGCTTAGGATACATTTTACATGTTACCAGTGACTGAAAGTGAAGCAAACACCAAAATATACATTCAACTGGGCCTAACTCTAATCATGGACCGGGTGGGGCGTGTCCTTTTTGGTTTGGTGCATTTTTGCTTGGATGTTAGGACTTTAGCTTTTTGCCAGCTCATGGGTTTTTCACTAAACCACTAAAAGTCAAAAACTTTTAGCAGGGGAGCAGAAAGTAACCGGGTTTCGTTTTTCGGGTATCCTTGGTTGGGTTGGGTTTTCAGGGGACACACAAAAGGGACACCGAAGCCGTTGCTTTGGGGTATACATGGTATAGCCCTATTTTGAGACACATCCAAAAATGGGTCTGGCTCTTTTTCTTAAGGAAGCAAGCAAGCAATAGCTTACCAACAAGCAAAATATCATACACTCCACCCTATGGTTTTCACGCCATTTCAAAAGCGCCCCGCAAAACCAACAAAATTTGGCATAAATCCTGCCATTTCAAACGCACCGCCCATAACTAACAATAAATATCATAAAATCAAATCAGCCCACCAGTATATCGAAAATTCAAAAATAATTCATAATATATGAAAACATTATGAAATATTATTTACTGAGTGTGAGGTTCTTTCGTTTCCAATTTATCCTTATGCTTATCTGTTCTTTCATGTCTTGCCTTGTTGCATGTTCTGACTTCACAATTACAAACATCACAAGGATAAGTTTTTTGTTTGTATGCTTTTTACCTTGCTTTTACTTCTTCGCTTTTCCTGTTTTCTCTCCTCCTTTCATTTACTTCATCCCTTCGTTCTACTGTTTGGCGATGCCATTTGTTCCTTCCCTTCTCACGGCACTTGTCGCAATTTTTGTAGGGTTCCGTGAAAAATTCCACACGCCTATTTCTTTGACAACCCCAGCAATATTTCTTATCCATAACCCTTACATGGTAAGGCATCATCCCTTTAAATAGTTTTAGACACAAAGATCAACTGGTAGATGCAAAAAAGCAACTGGTAGATGCAAAAAAGCAACTGGTAGATGCAAAAAAGCAACTGGTAGATGCAAAAAAGCAACTGGTAGATGCAAAAAAGCAACTGGTAGATGCAAAAAAGCAACTGGTAGATGCAAAAAAGCAACTGGTAGATGCAAAAAAGCAACTGGTAGATGCAAAAAAGCAACTGGTAGATGCAAAAAAGCAACTGGTAGATGCAAAAAAGCAACTGGTAGATGCAAAAAAGCAACTGGTAGATGCAAAAAAGCAACTGGTAGATGCAAAAAAGCAACTGGTAGATGCAAAAAAGCAACTGGTAGATGCAAAAAAGCAACTGGTAGATGCAAAAAAGCAACTGGTAGATGCAAAAAAGCAACTGGTAGATGCAAAAAAGCAACTGGTAGATGCACAGTGGACGAACCTGCAAATTTCAAGTTTCAACACCAACCCCAAACTCGTTTTTCTTAATCCACCAAACTGACCAAGATTTCACAAATCAATTCAGCAGGTATTTTGTATAAATCTTCCTGTTTGTGGATTACATAATTATCACCCCATTCCGCCTTGGTTTTTGATGGCATCCGTTGTGCAGTTTCAATATGTTTATTATTAACACTTTACCACAATCTTTATTACATAATGGTCTGGGTTTCCATTTATCAATGTTATTCCACAACCTCGTTCTTTTCCGATAATTAAAACCATATTTACAATAATCAATATCAAAATAGTCAAGTTCATTCATAAACTCCTGATTTTTTAATAATCCAGTTTGTGGATTTTCAATTACATAATATTTTGGATTGAAATATTTGATAATCTCAATAGTTTTTAAGACAATACTATTTGCATATTCAATGTTTCTTATTCCTGTTGTTTTTGCTCTACTGTATTCGGTGCACGGAGTGATGCCCAAATAAAATCAAAATGTGTCTGTCAAATTGTTTATAATCCCATTCCAAAATATCACAATTAATATCAGCATTTTTCAAGTCTAATGATATTACATTAAATCCAAGCGACTTTGCTATGGTTCCCACACTTCCAGTTCCACTAAATAATTCTAATAAATTCATATTATTAGAATTATTTATATTTTAATTTTCAACAATTACATATTTACCATCATCACCCTTAATTAGTTTATAATATTCTAATGTTTGTTCTTTTGGACTTTTGATTTGTCCCTTATTTAACATATCACAATATTTTTTACGCTTCGTGTCATAATCACCGCTGGGTCTGCCTATCCCTTTCTTTTCAAAGATTTTGTCAATCTTTTCCTTCTCTTCATTGTTTTTTTTTTGTTCGTTTGCCTTTGCATCAAGTTTCTGGTCAATAGTTTTTATCATCTCGTACAACAGTTTAACATTTTTACTAACTGTCATTATCTTCTTTGATAGTTCAGCAATAGCATCATTCTCAACTTCAGACATTTCTATATATAAATATTTATATATTTATTTATTTATTTATTTATTTATTCGTTTGACGTAGTGTTAAATCTACTCTTTATATACTAACTTATGTCTCTGTTAAAACTAACATTCACTAAATGTTCATTAGTTTCAATCATCATATCACCACCTGGTTTTTTCTTAATATTCAAATCTGTATCTTATTTTTTATAAGAAAACATACAAGTCATGATATGTATAGTCATAATTGCCCAATGCGCTGATTGCACTCCGTGTGGTTTTGGCTCAAGAAAAGGGTGCGCTCCGCAGTGCACCCCAGAGCCGAGATATTGCATTTTGATGGTAGCGGGTGAGCCTCGACGGTCCATTTGGTTTGGAAAGCCGTACGAGGGGCCCAAGGGCAAGAACAAGGGCAAGAAGGGCAAGAGCAAGGGCAAGAAGGGCAGGGGCAAGAGCAACAAGGAGGAGCCGCCGTGGAGGCGGCCCGCTCGCGGCAAAGGCAAAGCCGCAGAGCCGGTCGAGGAGACCGGGGCAGCGGAAGAGCTGCCGAAGGAGAGGCCGGAGCTAGTTGCCCCTCCGAGTGAAGGAGAAGAAGACACCCTGTCCGCTGAGCCTGCCGCTGAGTCAGAAGCAGACTGGGGAGGATCCCAGGCTGCATCTCCTCCCTCCTCAGAGCCAGAGGCTCTGCCAAGTGGCCACAGGGGCCCAGAACCGGCTCGAGGAAGCCGGGCAGAGGAGAAGGAGGAGGAGCTGGAACAATACACCAACGAGGACAAGAAGGAGGACCTCCACCCGCCGCAGAAGAAGCAGTTTGAGCCCGAGGCCACGGACTTCGACCTGGAGCAGAAGGGCCAGAGCGAGGACGAGAGCGTGTGGGGCGATTGGGGCAGCGAGGGCAGGATCCAGCCCGAGCCCAAGGTCGCTCACACGCCTAGGTCGTCAGGATCTCGGTGGTGGCAGAGTGCGACTGGCAAAGACAAGAGGAGAAGCCAAAACAGTCGGCACTTTAGGATCCTCAAAGGCCTCCTGAAGCTCGCGCAGAAGAAGCAGGAAGAGCCATCCGCGGAGCTCCAGGAGGAGATCGAGAACTTCGGGCAGGCGCCCTGGAAGAGGCGCCGGGTGCAGCCCAAGACACCACCGAAGTCCCCGCCTAAGTCCAGCCCTGCTCCGAAGACACCGCCGAAGGGATTCACAAAGGCCCAAGGAAAGGAGCCTTCACCGGGCGCTGAGCCCGAGCTGCTGGCACCGGTCGCCGAGGCAGCCAAAGCTCTCGGCCGACGGGTTACGGTGCACAGGAACATACAAGAGCTTGCGGTGGCAAGGACATCCCGCGGTGAAGGGACGAGCGAGCAGAACCTGGCCTCGAACTACCGCCTCAGGAAGGCGGCATCGGCAGAAGCTGCATACCGAGCCGGAGCAACGGGCTCGGTGGCCAAAGCCATCCAGCAGAGTGTGCTGCAACTGGACGGGTTAGGGAACCCGTGTTCCTCGTGCGACGAGAGGACTCGCCTTCAGAGGCCATCATTGTTGGCCAGGGCCGCAGCAATTGCAAAAGGGGCGACAAGGAGGCGCGCACCGGTAGGAACGACCTCAAAGTCAGTACCGGAAGCTATCGCGAAGCCTCAGGTGAAGCCACCTCCTGCAAAAGCGGCTATAGAGGCGAAGGTACCACCTCCATCGCCAAGACCGAAGTGGGTGCTCAAGGAGAAGGCCCACATCGAGAAGCCCAAGAGCGAGCCGAAGGTTTCGCTGGCTCGGCCGAAGCGGCCGCCACCTCCGCCACCGACTCCGTCGCCGACTACACCCCTGAGCGAGACCGAGGGCAGTGTACACCTTTACGATCAACCGGCGCCGGAGCCGGAGAGCGCTCCGAAAAGCGGATCGAGCTCGGGGTCGTACTATAGTACAGAAGAGTCCGGGAAGGCGGACTGACCTCCCGGTGCTTGGCACCGGATATAAGGCATGGAGGAAACAGTGCGAGAGTTGCAGCAGGCAGTTGAGCGGTTGTCACAGGAGAACCAACTTCTTAGGCAAGGCCAGGCAGGTATAGCTGCTTTGGCAGAGAACCTTGGTAGGTTAGCTACAAGCCTGCAGAGAGGAGATAGGAAGTTGTTGATAGACACCAAAGGGATTGGAAGACCGGAAGTCTTTTCCAATGATGACGGCCACTTCCGTAGATGGGCCCGGTCTGTGGTGAACCTCACAACGGCAATCTTTGGATCCAGTTTCCAGTCAATCCTTGAATGGGTAGTTGATCAGGATGAGGAGATCACTGTTGAAAAGGTAGAAGAGGAACATGGAGGCGAACTGGGAATGGCCGGACTGGATGATAAGGGAGACCAACTGTATAGGTTGTTGTCATCCCTTACTACTCATGAGTCCGAAGATCTGGTCATCAATGCCAAGAACGGGTATGAGGCATGGCGAAGGCTTAAC